ATAGATCACCACAATATAAAATCAGTCCAAATTAACACATACCTACCTCAATTGGCTGTTCCAGCCCTTGGGATTTCAATAGCTACAGACAAGGCTAAGCTGGTTTTGGAACTGGTTTGGACCTATCCTTTTTTTTTTTTTTTTATGAACTAGTTGCTGATCAAGTGACACAAAGACAGAATCTGGCTCCACCTTCCATCCCACTTCATGCAACCTTCTTGCCTTCTCCTTCTCCTCCTCCTCTCCCATCAAACTTAATCAATTTTAAATGCACATAGCCCAATGTTATATTTAGTCACATTGCAGGAAATGTATAATCCTCTGCTTGCCAGGTACAACCTTCCAGGCAACCACAGTCATTGGGGTTGGTATAAATTAAATCCCAGTCAATCTGCACCCCTAGAAATCCCACTAAACCCACAGTGGCTTGCCAGCTTGAAAGTGGTAAGTAGATCTATGAAGCAGCTCTGAAGAACCTCTTATTCTTGTTTACTCAAAGAGGAGGAAGCTTCTACGGTTTCTAGGAGGAAGAGAAAGCTGGCTGTGTAGAAGAACCGTTTATATTATAAAAACTTCAGTGTCAGGAAGTAACAACAGTCAGTTCCAAACACATCTGACATTAAGATAATCTGAGGGCCAGTTTCACTGTGGGTGTTACGGTGAAATAGTCAGGGTTTGATGAATATCTGTACACATGTTGGTAATTCTAAAGAGATCCTGAAAACACTGACCTTTACCAGCAAATTTCTAAGTCTCTAAAGAGCATTGTTATTTTCATCATTTACGTAGAAAGCTGCAAGGGGGATGTCATGTTTAAAAAAAAAAAAAAGGCAAGCTTTGTAATATCAGCTGGGAACATGTTGGTGACTTTGTGGTACTTTGAACAAAGGATGATGTTTTCATCCAGATTCCCCCTTCTGGATGAAACAGGATGAAATCATATTCATCCTGTTTCTTCACTATATACTGTTGATACTGTGTGGGACCACTTCTTGGTCAATGGGAGTCTAAAAGGAGGATCTGGAAGGTCTTGCTGCTATGCAAAATGTCAGAAATGAGCGCTCGTAACAAGCATGTCTTGCCTTAGCTACTGGGTCCCCTTAAACCAGTGTTCTCCAAACTTGGCCACTTTAAGATGAGTGGACTTCAACTCCCAGAATTCTCCAGCCAGCAAT